CCCCAAGCTCCTTCTGCCAGGACCAGGCACTGAGACAGCTATAGTCAACCCTGTTTAGCATGACAGGGAGAGGTTCCAAGTCCTGTGCTCCTTGGATCCACCAAGATCTACCCTGCATGCACACACAGCTCCTTCAAACTCTCCTAACCCTGGTTTTGCCACAGCCTGAGCCCTGGTCCTGCAGCTAGAAATGCTTCCCCTCAGCTGTTGGTTACAGAGCATGAGGTCATCCCATCAGGTTTCTCTGGACACTTTGGGGATCAACACTGCCCCCTCCCATTTAGATGTAGAACCAGATTTTCAGGAGCACTGGCTGCTCCAGGTGCTCATGGAGGGCATTCGTGGGAGGATGAGGGTTGAGTGTGGTAGCTGAGATGCCTCCTTTAACCTCGCTGTCCTGCTGCCCCTCAACCCCGCAGCCCGTGAGCAGCTGCGAAGGTCCCGGCACAGCCGCACGTTCCTGGTGGAGTCCGGGGTCGGAGAACTATGGGCAGAGATGCAAGCAGGTGGGGAGATGGGGGGATATGTTTTGGGCCGTAGGGGGACCTCACATGCTGATGGGAGAAGGGAACATTCATGAAGTTGGCCCCAGCCCCTAGACACCCGCCCCTCCCTCCAACATCTGCTGTAGCTAACCTGGCAGCCCCTTCACAGTCACCTGCACCCTCACCCCCCTCACAGCCATGCCCCTCCCTCACGCTCCTTCCTGGGATTCTCTGCGGATGGAGTTGCAGAGCCCTGGACTATTTCCCCCACACACACCTTGTGCCCCTACCTGGTAGCCTCAGGTTCAAGCACCTGAAGCCTCGCACACCTCCACATCACCACCCCCGTAAGCTGGACTCGGGATCTGGGGTAGGGCTGGAGGCTGGTCAGGAGGAGGTGCAGGGCTGAGGGTGCAAGACAGGCCACGAGAGTGTGCTTGCCGCTGCAGGAGACCGCTACGTGGTGGCAGACTGCGGAGGAGGCACGGTGGACCTGACCGTGCACCAGCTGGAGCAGCCCCATGGCACCCTCAAGGAGCTCTACAAGGCGTCGGGTGAGTAGCCCGGCAGCGCCCTGGATACCCAGCCCTCCAACGCCCGCTGGCCGAGGTGTCTGCACTGGCGTCCCCTTCATCCCCTGCCCCACCCCAGGTGGCCCCTATGGCGCGGTGGGCGTGGACCTGGCCTTCGAGCAGCTGCTGGGTCGTATCTTCGGTGCGGACTTCATTGCCACCTTCAAAAGGCAACGGCCAGCAGCCTGGGTAGATCTGACCATAGCCTTCGAAGCCCGCAAACGCACGGCAGGCCCTCACCGTGCGGGGGCGCTCAACATCTCACTGCCCTTCTCCTTCATCGACTTCTACCGCAAGCAGCGAGGCCACAACGTGGAGACGGCCCTGCGCAGGAGCAGGTGGGCCCGGGGACCCCGGGCTCAGGCGGGGCGTGCGGATGGGGAACGCCCCTGCAAGGGAGGGTGTAGGCCGCAGGGGGCAGTAGGAGTCAGCCTAATGCACAGCTCGCACACCTCTCCAGCCAGCCCCGCGGGGGGGCGGAGCATGGGTAGCCCAGCTAGAATGCGCAGCCCCAACTGGAGCAACTGAATCGGGGGCCCAGGGAAAGGGCCAGCATGTGTTTCCTCCCCTCCCTCCAGGCAGGCTCGCGCGGACGCAGACACACACACACACACACACACACACGGTGCCAGGGAGGACCCTCTCCTGGGACCTTATGCCTGGAACAGAAGCAGGCCCTGGCTAGAGCCCCTGAGAGTGTGGATTGGGACAGCACACCATGTGCAGTCAGTCCCAGGCACATCGGCCTGGAGCAGCAGTGGTACCTGATACATGCGCCTGTGCCCCTTTCATCTGCAGCGTGAACTTCGTGAAGTGGTCGTCACAGGGGATGCTCAGGATGTCTTGTGAGGCCATGAATGAGCTTTTTCAGCCCACAGTCAGCGGGATCATCCAACACATAGGTGAGCGCCTGAGCTTGGGTCCTCCATTTACCCCCACATACACACCCAGATGCGGGAATAACTGCTGCTATTAGTGCCTGGAAACCTCCACACATCCATACACTGGAATGACACCTAGAATCATCTGGAACACCTGGAGGAGTCAGTGTGTTGGGAATTAAGAGCTAGGAGGGATGATGTGGTCTTGCAAAGTTAAATAACCTCTGGTGCCTCCGTTTTCCAATTTATAAAATGGAATGATATAGTATCAGGCTCCCAAAACTATTATCACAGGGATTTAAATGAGCCGAAGTATCTAGAGTGTGAGCTCAATGTCTTGCACGCACTAGGCGTTTAACAGGTGCATATTCTCTCAGGTGCTCCATGGCGGGGGAAGGGTGTATTGTTGGGCAGGCAGAGCACTCAGTGAAAGCGCTCAGAGTTTTTCTTCATCAAAACCGGACACCGTTTTATAGTTGAAACAGCTAGTTTCTAATTGCCAGGCAGGCGGAGAAGAGGTGCCAGTGGCCGCGTAGTGGTGGCCTCAGCAGCTCGAGCTGTCCCTCTCCCCCCCTTCCCTCCTCCTTCTTACCCCCACCCCTCCACCCCGTCCCGCAGAGGCGCTGCTAGCTCGGCCAGAGGTGCAGGGTGTGAAGCTGCTGTTCTTGGTGGGCGGCTTCGCAGAGTCAGCCGTGCTGCAGCACGCCGTGCAGGCCGCGCTGGGTCCTCGCGGCCTGCGCGTGGTGGTCCCGCACGACGTGGGCCTCACCATCCTCAAGGGCGCCGTGCTGTTCGGGCAGGCGCCCGGCGTGGTGCGGGTGCGCCGCTCGCCGCTCACCTACGGCGTGGGCGTGCTCAACCGCTTCGTGGACGGGCGCCACCCGCCCGACAAGCTGCTGGTCCGCGACGGCC